GGGACCGTTGGGGGCGGGGTGTGTGGCCTTAAGACAGACTTCCGGTTGTGTCAGGGGGTGTGATATATGCTAATGAGTTATGCTAATGAGTTCCCCTAGCTCTTTTTCTATGAAACGACCCCTGCAACTAACAAGGCCCCGACAAGGATGAGGGCACCCCACACAGGGCTTCAGGCGACATTTCACGTTTTGCTTCAACGTGCTTCACACCTGACGGTCAACCCCACTGGTTGTTGCTTTCTTACAGGGCCAGTGATTCATAGAAACGCTGTCCACTACAGGAAGGACGGGTCTAGAACGAGGCCACCATGGAAGGAGAACGAGCGCCCACCACAGGCGTTGATCCCGATCACGGAGAGAGAGGAAGGGAGAGCGAAGGGGAGCCACAGCCCTCGACAGAGAGCCCCGCTGCATCCCCCGGGCTCATGGGCCCGCTCGCCCCGCCCAAACCCACCCTGCAAGCAGAAAGCCATCCCACTCTTCTGACTGGCATTACCAATCCTGGCTTCATGGAAGATCCTCCACCCTACTCTCCGCCAGACCCGAAGACTGTCCACCTGATCTACCCAGCCTTCCAGGGCAACGTCTCTGGGCCAGGGCCCATCTTCCTCCAGCCGACAGCCCTGCAGCCGGCCCTGAACCCGCAGCCGCACTTCTTGCCTGGATCCTACCCCTTCACCGTTGTACGTAATTGCACGCACGGAGCCCCGGTTTGCTAGCTGTCCCCGTTCCTTGTTCGTGACCACCTGCTTAAATTCTGCAGGGTGCAGAAGGCCCCTCAGGCTTCTTAGGGTGGGTTTCAACCCACCGGGTCCCCCATACAACAGCACAGTGAAAGGCAGTTATGAAGAGAAAGGTGCCAACAGGTCACAGCTGACTTTTGGCAACCCTGTGGGGTTTTCAAGGCAAGAGATGTTCGGTGGGGGTTTGCCATTGCCTGCCCCTGCCTAGCGACGCGGGACTTCCTTGGAGGTCTCCCCTCCAAACACTAACCAGAGCCAGCCCTGCTTAGCTTCCAAGATCTGATGAGACTGGACTAGCCTGGGCTGGAAACAGTTGGTTTTCGGTTTATTTTCGGCTGTGGTCTACCTGAGTGCACACCCCTGACGGAGTGGCTCATCCGACACTCAAAATCTAGCTTTTGGGAGGTTTTTTTTGGGGGGGGGGATATTTTCCTGTAGACCAACTGGGTTCAGACACATGTGTTCAAACACATTTTTACTGCATTTTTGACAGAAGGTATTAGTTTGAGATCACTGCTCCCACAGCCGCATGGGGCACTGTGCCCCCCCCATTTCTGCAGCCCCACTGGGGTCATGATGATCCATACTTTTGGGACACCCTGACTCTTTCTGTGGACACGGTGTGAGGTGCAGAATTGCTTCCACACCGCTGTCCTCTCCCCCAGGCGGAGACCTGGTTTGAGGAGCCATTGGGAAGAAGGAAAATGACACACACACACACACACACCACATACACACACCACAGAGTGAATCAGAGTAGCTGTATGGCAGTGGGTGGGACTTCTGATTCACCATTGGAGATTTGATTGGCAGTACAGATTTTTTATTAAAAAAACCCATCGCTTTGGCAGCCGCTGCCAGTGTTCCCACTCAGCTGAGTTAGCGTGAGCTGGCTCACAGTTTTTTTAGCCTCCGGCTCACGCGTTTTTGTCTTTGCTCAGGAAGGATGGCTCCAGAGCAAACTAATTTATGCAGCAGCCAACTCACCTGCTCATAACTTTAATGCTGGTAGCTCAGAAAGTAGAATTTTTGCTCTCGGGACTCCACAGCTTAGAGGGAGCAATGGCTGCCCCCACAGCACAAGGATGTTCACTGTGTGACTGGAGGTAAGCCGCGGCAGCCATTTTGTGGCCAGCTCCGCCTCCTATGGCAGCCATTTTGGGGCAGTCATTCTGCGGTTGCGTCCACCGCCCAATTCCAAAAGGTACTCTCAGGCTCAAAAAGACTGGGGACACCGCCCCCCGCCCCCCCGGCTTTATGGCGAAGGGCATCCAGAATAGGGACGGTTGGGTTTCGTACCCTCTCCTTTGCACGAGCAGAGTGTTTGTTCTTCGCCCTGCAGCAATACGACAGCTCCCTTCTCAGCGAGATCCCAATAGATCCCAGCCCCAGGAGGCCGCCGCCCAAAGATTACTTTGTGGAATCCGTGATGGTGATGCTCTTCTGTTGCTTGCTGACCGGTGTGGCCGCTCTTGTGTATTCCCATGAGGTAAGGGGCCTGTGTGGCACATAGGGTTCCCAACCTCCAGGGGGGGCCTGGAGACCCCCCCCCCCAATTACGACTGATTTCCAGACTACAGAGCTGAGTTCCCCTGGAGATAATGTCGGCTGCTCTTCTCCTGGTTGGTTACCATCAGAGGTCATTTCGGGGGGGATCGCGGGGGATCGCAGTTCCCCCGGGTGAAGTAGGGGGCGGGGCACATGACGAAGCCCCGCCCCCTGCTTCCAGCCGCCCCGCTTCCGGCCCTCATTCAGCCAGGAGGAGGCAGGAGAAGAGCTTGCAGTGGAGCTGCAAGGCCGGCGGCAGCGGCCGGGGCCGTTGGGGGTGGTGTGTGTGGCCTTATGACACACTTCCGGTGATGTCAGGGGGTGTGGCATATGCTAATGAGTTATGCTAATGAGTTCCCCTAGCTCTTTTTCTACGAAACGACCCCTGGTTACCATAATAAATTATCGAGGGATCGGTTGATTGAAGGTGGACTCTATGGATCCCTGCTGAGGCCCCTCCCCTCCCCAAACCCTGCCCTTCACTGGCTCCACCTCCAAATCTTTAGGCATTCCCCAACCCAGAGTTGGCATCCCTAAGGCCCAGCTTCTGGGAGAGGGGTTGTGCACTTGTGAATCAACTCCCTCCCCCCCCACTTCAGAATTCCCCATTTGCCCCAGAGCTCTCGACTGGCCGTGTTCATGAGGATTGGCTCCTTGCCGTCTTTTAACCGACACAACCTGGGCAAAGGGCACTTCCTCGCCAACAGTCTGGGTCAACCCCAGGCAGCTCTGGGACCAACACAGCGGGATCCTCTCTCCGGCTCTGTGGTCCCACTGGTTGCTAGCAGTGCCCTGATCGAGGGTTGCCAACCTCCAGGTCGTGAATACAAAAAAAAAAGAGGAAAAATCCTCCATATAATTAAACCTCCAAAAATACTCAAAGGCAGGGGTCATTTCCTGTGGGAGCGCACAGGAGCGGAGCTCCGGCAGTAATGAGCCCAGGGGGCGGGCACATGCAACAAGCCCCGCCCCCTGCTCCCAGCAGCCCTCAGTTGGGCCACGAGGAGCAAGAAGCAGCCAGGTAAGCTGCAGAGGCCCCCTGCCCACCTTCAGGCACAAGCTCTCCCTCCTCTGTGAGAGCAGATCTGCACGTTTTCCCCCCCCATAGCTAGCAATCCAAAACAGTCCAGTGGCACCTTTAAGACCAAGTTTTATTCAGGTACAAGCTCTCCCTCCACTGCGAGGACTGATCTGCACATCCCCCCTCCCAATAGCTACTCCCCCCAAATAGCTAGCAATCCAAAACAGTCCAGGGGAGCCTGAGCGGTGGGTGTTGCCTTGTGACACACTTCCGGTGATGTCAGGGGGTGTGGCATATGCAAATAAGTTATGCTAATGAGCTCCTGCACCTCTTTTTCTACGAAATGACCCCTGCTCAAAGGCACTAAATATAATGCTTATGAATTATTTATGTAATCAGCACTAACGAACATACAAAACAATCTCAATACAAATCTTGAAATCCGTTTAAATAAATTGTGCAAACAGGGAAAAAAGAGCCAAGTTCACAAGTCACGGAACAAAGGGTCCGGATGCAAATTGCAAATTCAAAAGCCCACTCAATACACCAGTGGTACTCCCCAGGTGAGTAGAATCCTCTGTTCCCGAAGACTGAAAGTTCCGTTCCTATAGCAGCTCTGCAAATTTACTTCCAGCTGACGGGGCGAACCGCTGTTGTAGCACCTGGTTTATCCAAGATGGAACTGTAACAACTTCACAAGACACAAAATTACTGCGTGATAAAATATTCCATGTCACTGCATTCTTCCAAAGGGTTGTATTATGCTTAAAACCAGGGGTCATTTCATAGAAAAAGAGCTAGGGGAACTCATTAGCATAACTCATTAGCATATGCCACACCCCCTGACATGAGGGGCCGGCGGTGGACCTGCAAGGCCAGCTGGAGTGCGAGGAAGCCCCGCGAAGGCCCTCCCTGGCCCCAGGCAGGCAGGGGTGGGGAGAGGCGGGGAGGAAGCAACTTTCCCTCCCTCTTCTC